ATGTCTATCGATATAGAATTAACTTAATAATAACTGAAAAATATAAATAAGTGTCATGAATCAAAATAAAATGAAATTCATTCTAAATATCGAGGAATTCTTATACATATCACTACAAAAACTTATTGAAACTACTGTTGGTAGTTGATCTTACTAAAAGGTCATAAGATTAATACTAGGAGATATTAAAGCCAAAAAATTTGACTACGAAAATTGTTATTCAAAATTGAATTAATAAATATTTCTTACTACAAGCAAAAAGTCACAGTATTTAAAATTAAAAATTTGATTGTGCTGCTTTTAATTATTTAAACTATAAAAACAACTTTGTGAAATCTCAATTCATCTTGATAAATAATAGGAATGAGTTTATACAAGACCTGTGATTGGATGTTTCATTATACTTGTTACAAGCCAAACTCTTGAATTTTCCATACTTGTTAACTTTTATTCTCCTTTAGAATATAAGAATGTGATTGAAACCTGAAATATATCTATATTCACTATATTCCATTGTGATCCCTGCGGTGGTTATACAAATATTGTCACAGCGATAAGCTCTTGTTTTACCAATATCTGAAATAAGAGAAAAAAATGAGAAATGATGAAAAATAGAAGAAAAATATCATTCTAAATATTGACAAATAAATGATCTCCATTTACTTTGACAAAGACAACTGCATTAGTTATTAAATCGTAAGGGTTCGTATTGCAAGCATCATAAAAATCGTGAGCTAGCGAGAAAGGTAAATGTGTAGAAGATACGGTAAATAGCATTTGTTCATTTCTATAATACTGGCAATATTTTCTATAATACTTGCATCTCACGCAGTGCCATGATGTAGAAGCACAAGGGACATCAAATATATCTATCCGAAGAAAATTACTACATGATGCAAAAAAAGAAAGGGCCAGTATACATGGTGTGAAAATTTTGCAAATAATGTTATCAATAAAGTTTCGAAAGTTTTAGATCAAAGATTGCTAAAAGTGGGACCACAGACAAGGTTACCACATACTGCCCAGCAATACCACATACTTTAATGCAATACACCGGCAGAAGATTGGATAAAAATTAATCTCTCATTTTTGATTCCTAATAAAAATTTTTAATTGTTGAATTGTGCACATTTCGTTTCAAAGTATTCTCTAATCAGCGATAATGTCAATGTTCATTCGACTTTACAAGTTTTACAATTACACACAGTTGAAGCACTCCAGTCACCGATGACCACCGTGGCGCTGCAGCAGTAACAATTTGCGGTCATATATAACCACCGTGTTAACAGTAAAAAGAATAAACTTGTACAAGACCTGTGATTGAATGATTCAATTATACTCGTTTCTAGCTCCAAGCTAAATCTTTCAATTTTTTGTACTTGTTGACTTTTATTACATTTTCCCTCGTACTATACATAGTATGGCGAGTATGCGAAAGAAGCAGTCCTTTTCTCATTGTGGACGCTGCGGCGACAAATTTATGCTTTTCCAATATCTAAAATAAAAAATTTCAGAAAATGAGAAATGAAGAAAATAAGAGGAAAAAGAAACTCTTTCGAGACTATAATTTTTCTGAAGTAAATATTTATTATGCAACATTCTATCTGAGGTGCAAATGAATTCACTTGATTGCTAGCATGTGACCATAATTTTTCTCATTATAGCTTAATATTATAGTTTAATTATAGTTTAATTCTGTGGAAAGATAACACGATAGAAATTTCAAAAGGAGA